GACTGGGGGGGAACTGGGAGGGGACTGGGAGGGACTGGGATGGGACTGGGAGAGACTGGGGGGGGGCTGGGATGGGACTGGGAGGGACTGGAAGGGAACTGGGATGGGACTGGGAGAGACTGGGAGGGAAATGGGATGGACTGGGAGGGACTGGGAACACTGGGAGGGAACTGGGATGGACTGGGAGGGACTGGGAGGGACTGGGAGGGAAATGGGAGAGACTGGGGGGGACTGGGAGGGAAATGGGACAGACTAACTGGGAGTACTGGGAGAGACTGGGAGCAATGGGAGCACCTGGAGGGACTGGGAGGGACTAACTGGGAGACATGCTGAGAGGGACTGGGAGCACTGGGAGGGACTGGGATGGACTGGGAGCACTGGGAGGAACTAACTGGGAGTACTGGGGGCACTGGGAGGGACTGGGGGCACTGGGAGCTGAGTTTGTGTGAGTGTAGGTTGAATTTTGGAGGTGTAAATTCAATTTTGGGTGTGTAAATTCAACTTTCTGTGGAGCAGACTGGATTTTCCAGGGCACAAACTGAATTTTGGGTTATTAGGTTGGACTTTTCAGGGCACAAACTGAATTTTGGGTTATTAGGCTGGACTTTGGGAGGCGTAAACTGAATTTTGCATTATTAGGCTGGACTTTGGGAGTTGTAAACTGAATTTTGGGTTATTAGGCTGGACTCTGAGAGGCACAAACTCAATTTTGGGTTATTAGGCTGGACTTTGAGAGGCGTAAACTGAATTTTAGGTGCTTGGGCTGGACTTTGAAAGGTGTAAACTGAATTTCATTTATTAGGCTGGACTTTGAGAGGCGTAAACTGAATTTTGGGTGCTTGGGCTGGACTTTGGGAGGTGTAAACTCAATTTTGGGTGTGTAAATTGAACTTTCTGTGGAGCAAGCTGCACTTCGCAGCGCACAAACTGAATTTTGGGTTATTAGGCTGTACTTTGGGAGGTGTAAACTCAATTTTGGGTGCCTAAATTGAACTTTCTGTGGAGCAAGCTGCACTTCGCAGCGCACAACCCAAACTTCATACCGCTCGTGCCGAATTCGAGGCCGCACCAACACCGTTCAAACACCTCCCTGACCCCATTCCCCCCTTTTTTCCCCCCCAAAACCTCCCCCCTGCAGGAACGCCTGGACCATGCTGGCCTCGGCGTACTGGCACGGCCTGCACGGCGGGCAGTACCTGTCGTTCCTCAGCGTGCCGCTGTGGCTGGCGGCCGAGGCGGCGGCCGAGGCGGCGCTGGGCGCGCGTTTCGGGGCGCCGCTGGAGCGGCTGGGCGGCTGGAGGGGCTCGGCGCTGCGCGGGGCGCAGTGGTTCCTCAAGATGAGGGCGTTCGAGTACCTGAGCGTGGGCTTCGTGCTGCGCGGCGCCGCCGACACGCTGCGCTACTGGGCCTCGGTGCATTTCTGCCTGCACGTGCTGCCGCTGCTCATCCTGCTGGCGGCCGCGGGCAGCGGAGCGCGGGGAAGGGGGACGGGGAACGGGCGGGAACGGGGGAACGGGCGGGAACGGGAGAATGGGCGGGAGAACGGGCGGGAACGGGAGAACGGGCGGGAACGGGAGAATGGGCGGGAACGGGAGAATGGGCGGGAATGGGAGAATGGGCGGGAAGAGGGGAGGGAAAAAGGGCGGGAAGAGGGGAGGGGAAAAGGGCGGGAAGAGGGGAGGGGAAAAGGGCGGGAAAAGGGGCGTGAGGGGGAGTGCGGGGGAGGGGAGGAGACAGTGAGGAGGAGGCGGGAGCGCTGTGAGGGGGAGGGTGGGGAGCTCCTGAATCCTGAAATCCATGAGGGATGGGAGCCCCTGAATCCTAAAATTCAGGAGGCTAGGGAGACCCTGAATCCTAAAGTTCAAAAATGTGGGGAGCCCCTAAAACCTGAAATCCATGAGGGATGGGAGCCCCTGAATCCTAAAATTCAGGAGGCTAGGGAGACCCTGAATCCTAAAGTTCAAAAATGTGGGGAGCCCCTAAAATCTAAAATCCATGAGGGATGGGAGCCCCTGAATCCTAAAATTCAGGAGGCTAGGGAGACCCTGAATCCTAAAATCCATGAGGGATGGGAACCTCTAAATCCTAAAATTCAGGAGGCTGGGGAGACCCTGAATCCTAAAGTTCAAAAATGTGGGGAGCCCCTGAATCCTAAAGTTCAGGAATGTGGGGAGCCCCTAAATCCTAAAATTCATGAGGGATGGGAGCCCCTAAAATCTAAAACCCATGAGGGATGGGAGCCCCTGAATCCTAAAATTCAGGAGGTTGGGGAGACCCTGAATCCTAAAATTCATGAGGGATGGGATCCTCTAAATCCTAAAATTCAGGAGGCTGGGGAGACCCTGAATCCTAAAATTCAAAAATGTGGGGAGACCCTGAATCCTAAAATTCAGGAGAGTGGGGAGCCCCTGAATCCTAAAGTTCAGGAATGTGGGGAGACCCTGAATCCTAAAGTTCATGAGGGATGGGACCCTATAAATCCTAAAATTCAGGAATTTGGGGAGCCCCTGATTCCTAAAGTTCAGGAGAGAGGGGAGCCCCTAAAATCTAAAATTCATGAGGGATGGGATCCTCTAAATCCTAAAATCCAGGAGAGTGGGGAGCCCCTAAAATCTAAAATCCATGAGGGATGGGAGCCTCTAAATCCTAAAATTCAGGAATATGGGGAGCCTCTGAACCCTAAAATCCATGAGGGATGGGATCCTATAAATCCTAAAACCCCTGAGGGATTGGACCCCTCGAACCCCAAATTTCAGGAGGGCGGGGAGCCCCAAAATCCCCAAATTTCTGAGGGATGGAACCCCAAAAGTGATGCTGGGGAGCTGAGGAAGAGGAGGGACCCCGAGGGCCGGGCTGGGGATGAACCCCAAGAGCCAAATTTGGGGTGAGGATGAGGAGGCAGCACCCCAAAACTCTGTGGGGGGGGGGGGAGGAACCCCAGTGGAAAATGGGAGAAAAAACGCCCTGAACCCCCAAAATCCAAAATTGGAAATTGGGATCGGGGGGACCCCCGGGTGAGGAAGAGGAGGGACCCCAAAAATGAGAATTTAGGGGGTTCTCACCCCCCCTGAACCCCAATAATCAGGAATGGGGAGGATTGGGGGGCTGTGGGCACCCCCTGGGGGTTTTTTTAGGGGTGTGGGGCTGTTTTTGGAAAGAGCCCCCCTAAAATTGAGACCAATAAAAGCTTTGAGTGACGCTCCGGGTGTGTTTGGTGCGTGTGGGGACCCCGAAAGTGCCTCGCAAAACATTAAGAGTGAATAAAACACATTTAAATGCAGCCGGATGTAAGAAATGGATCGAATCTCCCTGAACTGACCTGAGCCTGCGGCACCCTGAGGGGAATCTCGGAGGGAAATGAGGCAAAGCTGGAGGCAAATCCTTCAAATGTGCAAAGAACTCGGGCCGGGAGTTCCCCAGGAGATTTTGAGCGTTCCCTGAGGGGTTTTAGGGTGGATTTGGGGCGTCCCGAGGGGATTTTTGGGTTTTTGGGGGAAGTTTCAGAGACGTTCTCGTCTCCCCTCACGGCTCAATATGGCGGCAAGGCGGGAAACCGCCACTTCCGGCCTCGCCCTGCTGAGGGAGACGGGTGAGCCAATCAGAGGAGGGGTAAAAGGCGGGACTACGGCGCTCGGCGAATCAGAGCGCGGCAACGGGGCGGAGCAAAAGCCTGAGCGAATCAGAGAGCGCGAAAGGGCGGAGTGACAGGTGCTCGCCCAATCAGAACAAAGAGGCCGGCAGTGAAGCCGCTGCGGCCGCGGCGCCTCAGAGCCGCGGCCTTGTCCCGCCGCCGCCGCCGCCATGAACATCCTTCCGAAGAAGTCGTGGCACGTCCGGAACAAGGACAATGTGGCGCGGGTGCGGCGGGACGAGGCGGCGGCCGAGGTGGAGCGGAGGAAACGCGAGGCGCGCGCGCTGCGGGCGGAGCAGGAGGCGAGTGCTGAGGGATAATGGGGGGGGGTGTCGGGAGGGGAAAGGGGGCGGGGCTGGGTAGCGAGGAGCCAATCAGCATGAGAAGCCTTGAATATATTATAAATTAGGGGCGTGGCTTGGGTGATTGGCATGACTTGGGGCGATTGGCGTGGGGCGGCGCGAACCATTTCCATCTATGGGGGTGGGGGGGGGGGATGGACTGAGTTTAAAAAGTTATTTTATTGGGGAGGGGGCAAAATAAATTAACAACACAATTTAGCGAAATAAATGGGAGAGGGTTTAAAAAGTCAGTGGGATGAGATTTGGGGGGGAGGGGGGCAAAACACCCGGGATGGGTAAATTTGTGAGGAGGGGAGGGGGGGTGAAAAAGCTCGATGGGGAAGGGAATATGGGGGGGGGATCTTTTGGTGAATTTGGGGTGGGGGAGGGATTTGGGGGTCCCTGAGGCCGCTCTGTGCCCCGCCAGGTGCGCACGGAGGTGCTGCGGAAGCGGGCGCGGCTCGGGGGGCGCAGCCCGGCCCCCCCCGCGCTGTTCCCGCCGCCCGAGGAGGCGGCGCCGAACCGCGAGCACGAGGCGGAGAAAAGGCGGGAACGGGTGAGGGTACCCCCCGGAAATCAAATTAAATTAAATTACCCCCTCGGGATAAAAGAAATCACCCCCGCGATGGGCTGAGGGTGGAAATAGCACTGGGGAAAACAAGAGGAAAAGGGTTTGGAGGGGTCGGAGACTGAAAGTCAAAGCCCGCGAGGAGGTGAAGGGGAAAAAATGGGGCGGTGTGAGGGGGGGAATGGGATTTGGGGGGGTTTGAGGGGGGTTTGAGGGGATTTGGGAGGAAATTAGGAGGTTTTGGTGTTATTTGAGGGGAATTTGGGGGAAAAATGAGGTGGGTTTGGTATTTTTGAGGGGAATTTGGGAGAAAAATGAGGTGGTTTTGGTATTTTTGAGGGGAATTTGGGAGAAAATGAGGTGGTTTTGGTATTTTTTGGGGGAATTTGGAAGAAAATGAGGTGGGTTTGGTATTTTTGGGGGGAATTTGGGAGAAAAATGAGGTGTTTTGGTATTTTTGAACGGAATATGGGAAAAAATGGGGAGATTTTGGTATTATTTGAGGGGAATTTGGGAAAAAAATGAGGTGGTTTTGGTATTTTTGGGGGGAATTTGGGAAAAAATGGGGAGGTTTTGGTATTATTTGAGGGGAATTTGGGAGAAAATGAGGAGGTTTTGGTATTTTTTGAGGGGAAAAAATTAGGAGGTTTTGGTATTTTTGAGGGGAATTTGGGAGGAAAGGGGGAGATTTTGGTATTTTTTGAGGGGAATTTGGGAGGAAAAATGAGGTGGGTTTGGTATTTTTGGGGGGGATTTGAGGGGAAATGAGGTGGTTTTGGTATTTTTGGGGGGAATTAGGGAGAAAATGAGGTTTTGGTATTTTTGGGGGGAATTTGGGAGAAAATGAGGTGGTTTTGGTATTTTTGAGGGAAATTTGGGAAAAAATGAGATGGTTTTGGTATTTTTGGGGGGAATTTGGAAGAAAAGGGGGAAGTTTTTGTATTGGGAGGGATCAGCTGAATCCCAGTTCCCCAGTTTTCCCCTCAGAAATTTCCTGAGGTTGGAGGAATGGAAAAATGGGGGAATTTGTGTGGGAAATTAGAGGATTTTGGGTGGAAAAAGTGGGAATTTGTGTGGAAAAAAGGGGAATTTGGGTGGAAAAAGCGGAATTTGAGGAAAACCCGAGGTGATTTTCACCCAGGGGAGGGTCTCACCCCAAATCCCCCTCCCCAAATTTCCCCTCAGGAGTGGCTGAGATTGGAGGTGTGGGGGCTGAAACTGGGGGAATTCGTGTGGGAAATGGGGAATTTGGGTGAAAAAAAGCAGAATTTGGGTGAAAAAAAGCAGAATTTGTGTGGGAAAAAGGGGAATTTGGGTGTACAAAAGTGTCTGTTTTTGACATTGAGGGGTCTCACCCCCAATCCCCCTCCCCAATTTTCTCTTTAGGAGCGGCTGAGATTGGAGGGGTGGGGGCAGAAAATGGGGGAATTTGGGTGGGAAATGGGGGAATTTGGGTGAAAAAAAGCAGAATTTGGGTGAAAAAAAGCAGAATTTGGGTGGGAAAAAGTGTCTGTTTTTGGAACTGGGGGGTCTCACCCCCAATCCCCCTCCCCAATTTCTCCTCAGGAGCGGCTGAGATTGGAGGGGTGGGGGCAGAAAATGGCGGCATTTGGGTGGGAAATGGGGGAATTTGGGTGAAAAAAAACAGAATTTG